TTTTTGTGAATTTGTGAAGCTTGGTGCTCAGTAAAATATATGTTTATTTATGGAAAATGGCAGCCAGGACATGCTGTAAAAATAACTCCATTTGTGAACCACAGCAGACAAAATAGTGTGGAACTACATCAATAAATAAATAGTAAACAGTCCCTGTTGTATTTAATTGTTTTGTGGAAACAACATTCAAAAGCACTTCATATGAATAATTACTACTAAAAATTATTTGTAATTGAATTAATATTAAATAAACATATCCGTAATGTGTGTAACATGGACATTCCAATGTTACTGTAGAGTCAACACAAAACTATGAGTCAAATATTAATCCTGAACCTCAGTTTGAACACTTTAGAGCAAAAAGATTTGCAACGCAATGCTTTTCTACAGTATTTATTACTCATAACATGTCAGCTTCTTTATACATTTGACAAGTAGAGTTGATAGTATTAGACTGATAAACAAGCTTCTAATAAAATATGAACACTCCTCATGAATTATTCATTGTTCAGGAGCTTGTGAATGATGTATGAATTATCCCGTGCATATTTTATTAATAGGATTTTTTAAATTGACTTCATTTGAATAAAGCACGGATTAATCTTGGGTAGACTATGAATAATGCAAATTGTTTATGTTTTATTTGAAATGGCTATTAGGATTACAAACAGTCTAAGCACATAAATGAACATTAATTATAACAATAAATAATGTGTTGGTCTCATATAATGGCAAACTTTTGTTGTATCACTCGGTTTATAGCATACCATCCATTGGCACTGATACGGACTGATGTTAATGTATTAAAGTGCTTCTCTTTGGTTTAAATTGACTAAAGCAAGTTCTTCATGGTGGCGACCCCATCTGCAAACACAGCTTCCTGGTTATTCAATACTAATTGAAAAAAATTCACTTTTGGAAAGTCCCAGAAAGACTGTGATGGGCGAGTCATCCTGATCTCTCCTGTGTTTGAGGCTTTTTTTGTTTGTTGATGTTGTCACTCCCGATCTATTGAGCTTCTGACAGACAATCCAAGAAGCCTGTCCATGTCTGGCAGCTCATTTGGTGGCAGGTGGCAAACAATTAGACAGCAATTTCAAGGCCGGCAGATGACATTAAAGCATGAGGGAGTGAGTGGTACGACCCGGCGTCTGCAGACGGCCTGTGTGAAAGCATTTCAAAAATAATACACTCTGCCATGGCAACTCATTTCTGCCTGCCAGCCTCTATTAGGGTGCTGAGGGGTGAGGACGACAGGAAGGGAGCTGGGGGCGCTTCTGTTTAATCTGTCATCAACGCCCTGGAGACCCTCCCTAACACTCACAAACACATCTACACACACCTTTACTAGTCATCAAGCCCACCTCATCTGTGGCGGTTGCATGCATTACTATGGATCCAATGTTCCTGTGACTCAATATCTAAGCAGAGAGAAGCACATTATTTTAAGGGAGTTAAGGGATAGTTCACCCCAAAATGAAAATGAATAATTATTTACTCATCCTCCACTTGTTCCAAACCTGTATGAGTTTGTTTTTTTCTGCTGAACACAAAAGATGATATTTTGAAGAATGTTGGTAACGAAACAGTTGACGGTAGCCATTGACTTCCATAGTATTTTTTTCCATACTATGGAAGTCAATGGCTACCTCCAATATTTGGGTTACCAATATTCTTCAAAATATCATATTTTGTGCTTCAGCATAAAGTCAGGCACAACTTAATCTGGCAAAAAAAAAAACTGCTTAGATATCTAGCGGA